TCACTTAATATAATGCTCTCCAGTTCCATCCAACAGTCTTTTATAACCTAGTCTCAAAAATGACAGATATCCCATCATTTTTTCCACTTTCTTTTTATTAGAAGCAAATCACTAGATCCAGCCCAAGCTTAAACAATAGGGATTACTCAGAGTATGTTCGAAGTCTACCTACCACACATAACAAAGCAGGGAGGTACCCGGAGGAACAAAGGCCTTAACCAATCTCTTTTCCCATCCTCTGATCGCCCACCATTGTCTGCTATGACCAAATTCAACCAGATGCTAGAGTGCAAGGAAGCCCAGGTGACACAGCCCACAAAGGTCATCCTTCCAGACCAGGGCAGAGAACGTCAAAGAATGAATCTGAGACAGAAAAAGGGAGGGAAGTAGGATGGACAGAGAATTACCAGCACATGATAAAAGACAGATGGGCAAACTGACAGTCGTCATGGAGGTCAAACACCCTAGAAGACAAGACCTTCACCCAGACACACGGGATGCATCTCCTTTATTTAATATACTAATCCAATTCTTTCCCAGACCCTACAATTTCAGGTAATATTGGACTGGCCCTGTTTAAAAGTTATGAAATTTTTCTGTAGAACAAGTGTCCCTATCTTCCACATCCTCCCTCCCCCCCCCCCCCCCCCCCCCCCCCCCCACGTCACCTCCACACCCATTTATGTCAATACCTGCCTTTTGAATTCCTGGAGCAAAGAGCGGGATTAGGAAAGGACAGGGAATGAGCAGTGACATTTGGAAAGACCTTGCTCTGTGACAGCTCTAATGTTGATGGCAGAGTTCTAATTTCCTCTTAGAAAAAAGTTGTGCAAATATCATAGTTTGCTTCTGTTGGTTTTTTTAATGTGCTCAGGTAGACTGTTTGGGCTCTTGAGTCAGAGCTTCTCCTTGTGGAGTGTATACATGGACACACACGCACATGCACACATACCCTAAAGCACTTTCTCCTGTCCCTCAGCCCTCCCCATCACCTTCAAGCCTCCTCAGTTAGGCAGTCAATTGCCAAGACCTGTCCCTATGTTAATTTAATGCATTCCTCTTCTTCACCTACTGACTACCATTAGATATTGATAAATTTCAAAAAATAAAACCACACAATTACTTTAGCCCAGGTCCCACACCCCATGTGTGGAGCAGATCAACTGACTGAATGTGATGGTTATCTTACTGGAGGTTAAGGATGGGTGAAATGGCCTGCAAGAGCTCACTCCTCATGCCAGTAATGTCCCACCTCTTTATCTTCTGAGGAGATTAATGCTCTGAACCCAGCCACCCAAACACCCTCATACCCCCTTTCCACACCAGTATGTGGAACAGCTGAGAGGCAGGGAAGCCTGCAGGACCACGCAGGGCCTGGTGAGAACTAGCACCCGACTAATGGAAAATCACAAATTGGTATCCAGTACCCTATTCTCCACCTATCAGTTCCTCAAGTGGCTCTTGTTTCTCCTCAGCCCCGTTCAATTTAGCATTTAGCACCAGCCTGAATCAAACCTACCCAGAAAGATGAACCCTCTCAAAGTTCAAGAATCCCACACATCTCCACAGAAATGTATTGTCTATAAAATGCTTTGCCATATGTTATCTCAACACTCTCCTGTACAGGAGCCATAAATCCTCAATGACAAGTGAAAATCCTATAGTTGTTTTTTTTTTAGCATATGACAGTACACTGTCTTATGTATATGACAAAGTCATAACTCAAAATCCTGGCTTCTTGATTACCAACTCAGGGCAAGAAGAATTCCCAAGTCAAAGAGAACTATCTGCTTTTCTGACCGTGAATCAGCTCCCTACTGGAAGGGAGAGCCAAAGTCCAACTTCAGTGAACGACAGGCTTCCTTTAACCAGAAGATCCTCTCAGAAATGTGGGATCTCATTGCTTGGACCTGAGCATAGAGGCTGATAGGGGCGCATGTGGGTCTGGGGCAGTTCTTCCTATGGAAAATTTAAGTGTAAAAGCAGAAGACAACTCCAGAGAAGGCACCATGAACTCAAGAAGGTAAAGGAGCCATGAACTCAGTCCCCAAGTGTGTTCTGAGTGTGGCCTCTCCAGGGAATGGGGCCCACTTAGCCTGGAGAAACCTTCAAGCCCCTGCACTGAGTCCAGTGGAGATCTAGACAAGAGGTAGGTAATGTGAGCTCCCAAACCCCAATCTCCTTCAGGAGAGATGCCAAGACTATGAGTCCTCCCAGTACCCTCAGCAGGCACATTTTTAAAATATATTTTATTGATTTTTTTACAGAGAGGAAGAGAGGGATAGAGAGGTAGAAACATCTATGAGAGAGAATCATCGGTCAGCTGCCTCTTGCACACCCCCTACTACTGGGGATGTGCCCGCAACCAAGGTACATACCCTTGACCGGAATCAAACCTGGTACCTTCCAGTCTGCAGGCCGACACTCTATCTACTGAGCCAAACAGGTTTCGGCCCTCAGCAGACACATTTTAAAATCTCCCAAACCAAATCTGAGATCCCAGAGATGTGAACCCAGAGGGCAGGTGGGGTGGAGAAGGAAAAATAAGGTTGGTGCCAGGTATCTGCCAGCCCCAGCTCATCCTTGTTAATTTAGCAGGTGACAATCTGGGAAAGAAGGGGAGGGGGAGGAGGAAGTCACACTAGTTTCTTTCCCATTGGCCCTTGGTGTCCTTAAAAGGGCCCAGCAGTCTCAGCACTGTACTTGCGATCCTCTGAGGATTCTGCTTTGATACTCACTCCTGAGCATCAACCATGAGATTCACATCTCTTCTCCTCCTGGCAGCTCTGGCTGGGACCCTGGTCTGTGCCCGTGAGTATGGCCCTCCCACTGCAGAAGCCCTCACAGTCCAGGGAAGCCTTCCTTCCTGACTTTAGACCTCTCTTTCTCTCCTAATGCTGTGCTGGCTTCTCTTCCTTCTGCAAGTGACTCCTGACCCCTCCTACCTGGCCCCCCTGCCAGCCCCCAATTCTCTACATGTGGCCTATTTACCCCATTGCTGTGTGGAGGGGTGATGGGGTAGGAAACCTCTGGCCATCTCCTCACACATCCTCCTTTGCTCTTATTGCAGGGCCTCTGGGTCACTGTATATAGCTGGGCAGGTTGTTCCCTACACAGGGGTACCAGGCAGAGAAGCTGAAGGGGCTGAAATCTAGCCCCTGTTCCACTTGCCAAGCAGCGAACCCTGCCCATGCCTCTCTCTCAGGATGCCTTTTCCAATTGCACAAAGGCACTATTTGGGCCAGGATAACCATGTCATTCCTCAAACACTGGGACCTTCCTTCTTGCTCTTCCTTCTGCCTGTCCCCTTCCCCAGCCAACTCTGAATATCACCTAACCAGTGCTTTCTCATCTGTGAAATTTCACTTTAGGTATGAATTTCTCAAGAAAGTCTTCCTTAAAAATAAAGTACATAAAGAACCAATGAGACCTCTTTTGCCCATATTGCACCATCTAAATAATAAGGTTGTTAGCTCTGAAGGGATGGGATCTTGTCCACCTTCTTCATCATAGAACTCCCTTCACTTAGCAGACTTTGTATAAACATTGTGTTGAAAGAATAAGGGGAGTTAGAGCTATAACCCAATCCCATAAATGACCTGAGCATGACCCAGTGGCCTCTGCACTGCCAACTTCTACCACCACAGGCCATGACTGGCTCCCTGACACTAGCTTAGGGCACCCTCACAGTGAAAGGCACAGGAAGAGGGAAATTTTCAGAGGAATATCCCACTTTTCTGCTTCAAAAAAGAAACTGCAGGAGGAGTTAAACATCAGAAAGAATGCTCTGATGGACCCATTGGTGTGGCAGAAGGACCTGCTCAGCCAACAGTGAAATTTGTACCCCAGTGTCCACAAACATTTCTGAGAGTTCAGAATTGGGAGTGGGAGGGAGGATGGCTCTGGTGTGGATCAGGTTCAGTCCTCATAGTTGTCTCTCTTCTTGTTTACAGAAAAAGAAGATACCAACAGTGATCCCACAACAACTGCTGATGACTCTGAGACCAGTGAGTTTTCTCCCTCTGGTTTCTGCCCTTGGGAAGGGTTGAACAGCTGAGATGTCAGGGAGGCTGTGGGGAGGAATTCAGGGAGAGGGGACTGGGTCCTGATCTTGGTGGTAATAGAAGAGCATGGCTTAGGGTGGGACAGGTGTAGGGAAGAAGCAGGAGAACTCATACAGGCAAGGTTAATGGGGAGAGTGGAGAAAGGCTTTTATGAATAAAAGGGAGAAAATGATAAGGTCAAATAATAAGGGCAATGTCCCATGCAGTATTCAGACCTTTACCTGTAAACAGCTTTCGTGACTCCCAGCTGCTTTGCAAGCTGCCCACTATCTGGCCTCACACCCCATTTCCAACCCTCTTTCCCATGCCTCTCCTTCATGTACTACCCACATCTGCTAAATTTAACTTCCTCATATTCTACCCACCTGTCCCACACATGCCTTCCCCAAAGCTTTTGCTGACTCACTTCCTGCCCCAAACGAATCCCCTTTAGAACAGCCTCCCTGCCAAAATCCTGCATTCAAGACCCGCTTCTCTCTACCATGCTCCCTAACTGCTCCCCACATTCCTCTCTCCATTCCTCCCCAACCCTGCCCATCTCCCAAGAGGTGCTGTCTCAGTCCATTCGGGCGGGCTGTTACAAGTAACCATACACTGGCTTACACAACAGAAAGGTATTTCCCATGGTCCTGGAGGCTACACATCTAAGACCATGGTGTCTGCATGGTCAGGTTCTGGTGAGGACCCTCTTTCAGGTTGAAGACTGCCAACTTTTCATTGTATCCTCACATGGTGGAAAGAAGAGGAGAGAGCTCTCTGTGGTCCTTTCTACAAGGGAACTAATGTCATTCATGAGGGCTTCACCTCCCTAAGGCCACACCTCCTAATACCATTCTGTTAGAAGTTAAGATTTCATCAGATGCATTGGGGTGAGGGGAAGTGGCTGGGAGGTGGGAGGGGGGAGTGCGGGGAGCGAGTGGGGGAGGGAAGAGGGTGGGAGAAACAAACACTCATCTATAATGAGCACATGGTGTGTAGAAATCCCATTTGTCTTAAGAGGGAGAGTTTATGCCATATCATTTCTGTATCCTGGCACCCAGCACATATTAGGTATCTTAGGCCTGCCACCCATTCTTAAGGGGGAAAAATACACTTGACTTTGCTAAAATCAACAAATCTGTGTGTTTGTAACTCCAGTGCAATCTGATGCGCTCCAAGAGACAACCAAAGCAGACCAGGAGTCAACCGCGAAGCTAAAAGACATTTTAATAGGTAAGTCTCTGTCTCTATAACAGATACAGCCCAGAGAAATTTCTGGCATCAGGTCTACATGATGCCTCTGTGCACAAAGACAAGCCCAGAAGAAGCAGACATTCATTTGTTCACCTGAACACAACGCATAAATGAGGTGAACACTGCACGCTAACACAGAGTCTGTGCAATAGTAGATTTTGCTGCCTCACTATACATGGCTTCCTTCCTGGCCCACCCACTTTCCTATGAGAAGCTGAGCCCCTCAGCAAAACTTCCGCACTTTAGGAATTATACAAGGGTAATGGGGGAAGAGAGGAAGAGGTGGGAACTTTTTTAATGACATGGCTTTTCTGCTGATGTGATTCTCCTGCTCCAAAATTAGGTCTGATAAAGGAGGATATCAAGAACATAAAAGAACGCATTGAACTCGCAAAACAAGTCCTGCCGTCAATCATTGGACAATTAAAAATGCAACTTAAATGTGAGTGCATCCTAAGGCAAAGCCTTGTGGGAACGGGAATACTCACCAGCCACCAGCCATACCCCCACCATCACCCTGCACAGGATATCTCAGGAAGGGGATGCAAGACTACCGCAGCCCCTCTCCATTGAAATTTCCTTCATTTGTGCCTTAAATGGCTCAAATTTCTCGTCCACATTCAAAATGCATGGTTGTCTAATACCAGATCCCCCTGGGGTCCGACCCCCAACCTTCCCACTGCAGAGTCTGCTTGCTCATTTCTCTTTCTCTCACTCCTGCCCAGGCTGGGGATAGGGCTCATCCTTTGGCCTCTTGTGAATCTAACCTCCCTCCCTCTGACTTCTGTGTCAGGCCCTCAGGGGCACAGGGAGGTTGGAAAGAAGATTGAGTTGAGGATGGAATGGGTGGGTGGTGGTTGGGGCCCATCAAGCCTCCTTTTCATCTCTGCTTTCTTCCAGGGAGCTATGAGATTCTGAAGATTGGCCTTTATAATAGAATTCTGTACAATGCGTACGAAATGAAATCTAAAAACCAAATGCCTTAAACATGTGTAGAGCTCAGAGCAATTAAATTGAAAGCATATAACTTGTTGTGTGCCTGTGTTCTGTTGGGTGGGCCTGAGGGAGAGGGAGAAAATTCCTGCCTGGAGCCCATACCCTGAGCCAGTCACAGCCCACTTTCAGGACACGGCCTCTAACAAGCCCTTTTAGTCACACTGAGCCACAGCCACATGTGGTGGGCCTCTTGCTCCAAATGCCACTCGATTCGTCTGCCTCCTCCTTCTTCACAACGGCTCCTAGTGAAATTTGAGCACTTCCAAAAATTAATCAACCTCCAAAGATCCAGGATTTATGATCCTGAAAATAGTCAAATCCTGAGTTATTGCTACAAAGGTCAGTTTCTTGTGGCATTAGTAAAAATGCATCCCTCCTGCCTTCCACTCATACTTTCCACACTGGGCCAGTTAATTTGCTGGGCCTGGTTGGTGTGGCTCAGTTGGTTGGGCATCGTCCTGTGCACTGATGCAGGTGTGCAGGAGGCAGCCAATTGATATGTCACTTTCACATCGATGTTTCTCCTTCTCTCTCTCTCTTTTTTTTAAATTAAATCTTTATTGTTCAGATTATTAAAGTTGTTCTTCTTTTTCCCCCCATAGATCCCCTCCACCCAGTTCCCATATTATCCCATACCCTTACCCCCACTCCCACTGTCCTCATCCATAGGTGTATGATTTTTGTCCTGTCTCTTCCCACAATTCCCACACCCCTTTCCCCCCTGCCCCAGGATTGTCATTCCACTCCCTTTCAATGCCCCTGATTCACCAGTTTATTCTGTTCATCAGATTTTTTTATTCACTTGATTTTTAGATTCACTTGTTGATAGATATTTGTTGTTCATAATTTTTTTAAAAAATATACATTTTATTGATTTTTTTACACAGAGGAATAGAGAGGAATAGAGAGCCAGAAACATCGATGAGAGAGAATCATCATCAGCCACTTCCTGCATACCCCATATTGGATGTGCCCGCAACCAAAGTACATGCCCTTGACCGGAATCGAACCTGGGACCTTTCAGTCCACAGGCTGACGCTCTATCCACTGAGCCAAACCGGTTTTGGCTTGTTCATAATTTTTATCTTTACGTTTTTCTTCTTCCTCCTCTTCTTAAAGAATACCTTTCAGCATTTTATCTCTGTATATTATTCTTTATTTCTTTTTGGATTCTTTTGCTTTTTGCATTTTCAGTTGGGTGTTTTTTGCTTCTTTATATTTCAAATCTTTGACTTAATTCTTGCAATCCTCTAGTCTACTGTTGGATCTCTATATATTATTCTTTACTTGTTTGGTGTTGATGGACTCCTTTAGCTTTTTATTATCTGTCAAACTCTTTATCTGAACAGGAGGTCACAGTTTGAACATCTGGATGATAGTTTTGCTGGGTAGAGTAATTTTGGTTGTAGGTTCTTGCTGTTCATCACTTTGAATATTTCTTTCCACTTCCATCTGGCCTGCATAGTTTCTGTTGAGAGATCAGCTGAGAATTGTATGGTTGCTCCCTTGTAAGTAATTAACTTTACCTTAATTAATCTTAAAAAAATTTTTGCTGCTATTAAGCTCCTCTCTTTGTGTTTTGCTCTTGGCATTTTAATTATGATGTGTCTTGGTGTGGTCCTATTTGGATTCCTTTTCTTTGGGGTTCTCTGTCCTTCCTGGACTTGTACGTCTATTTCTTCCACCAGGTTGGGGAAGTTTTCTGTCATTATTTCTTCAAATTGGGTTTCAGTATCTTGCTCTCTCTCTTCTTTCGGCACCCCCATAATTTGGATGTTGGTACACTTGAGGTTGTCCCAGAGGCTCCGTACACTATCTTCAACTTTTTGGATTCTTTTGCTTTTTGCATTTTCAGTTGGGTGTTTTTGGCTTCTTTGTATTTCAAATCTTTGACTTAATTCTTACAATCCTCTAGTCTACTGTTGGATCTCTGTATATTATTCTTTATTTCAGTCAGTGTATGCTTAATTTATAGTTGTCCTTTTCATATTCTTGAGGGTCTCACTAAATTTATGGGCCTTTTTTAGGAAATTCTTGAAAAACCTTATAACCGTGGTTTTGAATTCTATGTCCAGTAGTTTGCTTTCCTTAATTCCTTTCATTTGTGACCTTTTTCTTTGTCTCCACATTTTTGCTGCTTCCCTGTGTTCATAGAGTGGCTTTGTGTACTAGGTGTCCTATAGGGCCCATGGCTCAGCCTCCCCAGTTACCTCAAGTTGACACTTTTGGTGCACCCCTTTGTGAGTTGGGTGATCAGTCTTATAGTTAAGCCTCCTTAACTATAGGAGACTTATTGGTATCACTGGGAGGAATTGACATCACTTGATTGTTGTTGTTATCACTGGGAGGAATTGACCTCCAAGCCAATGGGCTATGAGGATCGGCTGTGTCTATGATGGGAGAACTCCTGTGCTGGAGACACCCTTATGAGGCAAGACTTGCTTCAATGGGGTTTTAGTGCTCACTGAATATGCTCCCTGAGTGTGTCCCTTATGAATCTGAGGAGTTGTACTCTAGATGGTCCTACTCTGACCACTGGGTACACTGGCTCTTGGATCTCCAAGGAGGTGCTAATTCAGCCTCTGCCTGAGGCCACCAAGTGGGAGCTAGGGAGATATCTGCAGATTCCTCTTCTTTGTTTGGGTTTAGGAGATGCCCACATGAGGCCCAGCTGTGAAGCAATGCAAGTTGCTATGGGGCCTTGGGCCTTCTTTTGGATGTTCTTGGTCTCTCTGACTCAGATGCAGTTTGTTAGGTAAATTTAGATTTCAAAGGAATAAGCCATTCATATGCAAAAGCCTCTTCACACAACTTGGATGGGGCAGAGTCTCAGGGCAGAGCAATAAGCTATGGCTGGTCATCAGCCCTGCTCTAAGAGGCCCCTGGATCTCAGTGTCTCTCAGTAATCACTGTAAGCACGTCTGAGAGAAAGCCACCCCTCTATTTCCGTCTGCTGCCAGACAGTCCAGTTTCTCCCCATATGAGTCTGGGTCCCCAGAGTCTTGCCCAGAACTGGAGTTCAGAACAGTTGGGAGCTTGTGTCTCCCTCCCGATTGAAAACGTCAGCCACATCCTCAGTTGCCAGCCCCTTTCCGCATACCTCCAAACCTCTGCACTTTACTTCTGCAACTCCTCTGAGTCTCAGTGTGCTTTTCTCTTCCCTTCTAGTTGCAGAATTTCTACTCATCCAGCCTTCTTGTGATTCTGGATAATGACTGTTTTGCCTTTTAGCTGTAGTTTTCAAGTGGTTGTTCAAGACAGCAAGTTCCAGTGTTTACCTATGTCAACATCTTGGTTTCTCCTCCCTTCCTCTCTCTTTATAAATCAATTTTAAAAATCTTGAGAGAGAGAAAGAGAGAGAGAGAGAGAGAGAGAGAGAGAGAGGAAGAAATTGGGACACAGACACACACAGAGGGAAGATTCTGTAAAGACATGCAAGGATAGATGGTCATGTAACTAAGAAGGCAGGAACTGGTGTGATGCCAACACCATGAACAAGAAGAGGTAGTGAAGGGTTCTTCCCTACAGGTTTCTTTTCTTTTTTAAAATAAATAAATAAATCTTTATTGTTCGTATTATTACAAATGTTCCTCATTTTCCCCCCCTCCATTTCTCCCCTCCACCAGGTTCCCATCCCACCCTCTGCCCTTTCCCCATTCCCCATGGTCCTCATCCATAGGTGCACAGTTTATGTTCAGATCCTTCCTGCACCCCCCACTCCCCTTTTCCCCTAGAATTGTCAGATCACTCAACTTTCATACCTCTGATTCTATTGTATTCACCAGTTAATATTGTTCATCAGATTTTTTAATTCCCTTGGTTTTTAGCTTCACTTGTTGAGCGTTATGTATTTGTTGTTCATAATTTTTATCTTTATTTTCTTTCTCTTCCGAAAGAACACCCTTCAGCAATTCATATAATTCTGGTTTGGTGGTAATGAACTCCTTTAGCTTTCTTTTTATTTGTGAAGCTCTTTATCTGGCCTTTGATTCTGAGTGATAGCTTTGCTGGGTAGAGTATTTTTGGCTGTAGGTTCTTGCTTTTCGTCACCTTGAATATTTCTTGCCATTCCCATCTGGCATGCGTGGTTTCTGTTGAGAAATCAGCTGACAACCGTATGGGTACTCCTTTATAGGAAACTACCTGCTTTTCTCTTGCTGCTTTTAATATTCTCTCTTTGTCTTTTGCTCTTGGCATTTTAATTATGATGTGTCTTGGTGTGGTCCTCTTTGGATTCCTTTTGTATGGGGTTCTGTGCACTTCCTGGATTTGTAAATCTAATTCTTTCACAAGGTGGGAAAAGTTTTCTGTCACTATTCCTTTCAGTATGTTTTCGGTATCTTGCTC